TGCTGACCATCTGTTCTGAAAGAGCACGGGCCCCAGGTGGAATGCTGTGGTAAGGATCGAAGCTTGGTAGCATATTGTAGAGAAAGTTGCAAAAGACGGAGGTGAAGAGGAGGTTTGTGGGACTCAGTGCACAAACTCTGGACTGGAGAAGTGTGAAAAGCCCCAGATGGTGAATGTAGTTCAGCATCTTCGAGCCCGAGGTCTTGGCAGAACCATAGACCAAAGACTCATAGTACAGTTTGGATCAAATCAGGGCATGCTAGATCCTGTGCACAGAACATCGATCCACTCCCCAAGAGGTGGAAGAGAGGACACGGAGGATGTTCAGTGCCCTTGTACACTTGTCACATAGCTGCTTGACGCATGTAATGAAAGTAAGCTTATGGTTAAAGATAAGCCCCAAGAACTTTACCTCAGGGATCAAATGAATAACAACATCGCCAAGACGGCACTCGGGATCGAGGTGTAGACCCCATTGGCTGCAAAAATTCATGCAAACGGTTTTTGAAAAAGAAGACGTAAACTCGTTTGCAGTGGTTTATTTCAACAAGCAATTGAGGGCAGTCTGAAGCTGCTACTCAATAAACCTCATGTTCAACGACTGACATGAGATGTGGAACTGTGACACTCAAGACACAGCCCTGAGGGATTCCAAGTTCCTGTGGAAAATAACAGGAAAGAGTCGAACCCATGTGCACTTGGAATCGCCTGTCCAGTTAAAAGTTCTGAATAAAAATGGGTAAATGGCCACGCAACCCATAGGAATGGAAGTCCTGCAAAATGCCATACCTCCACGTAGTGTCATAAGCCTTCTCAAGATCAAAGAACACGGAAACATGATGTTCTCTCTTGAGGAAGACTTCCCTGATCAATGTTTCAAGTCGAATTATATGGTCCACGGTGGAGCGCTGTCAATGGAACCCACACTGTAGTGTGTGAGAGGAGCTTATTTGATTCGAAGAACAAAACATGACGAGCATTAACCATCCTCTCTAAGACCTTACAGAGACAGCTAGTCAAAGCGATGGGATGATAATTAGAAGGAATCTAGGGATCTTTCCCATGTTTAGAGAAGGGAGGACAATAGTCTGGCACCAAGCATCAGGAAAAACATGCTCCTGCTAGATCCAGTTAAAAATAACCAGAAGAATAGCAAGAGATGCAGGAGAGAGATTGGGGCAGCATCTCATAATGAACACCATCAGGTCTGACCAATGTACTGCCAGACCAATGAAGAGCAAGTTTGAGTTCCACCAGTGTAAAGGGGCGATTATAGTCGTAGAGACGATCAGCCCAAAAGGAAAGAAGTGATTGTAGTGCCTGAGATTTGATGGTCAAGAAGGCAGGGGAAGAAACAGAAGTGCTAGATGCACGAGAAAAACTGTGGCTGAGAGCATCAGCAAAGCTCTGGACATCAGCAACTTCCTGGCCATTGGAGAGAAAGGTGGAAAGGGTATGGGAAGCATAACTTCCAGTGACTTTACGAAGAAATGCTAATAGTGAATTTAATCCAAGACTCCTTTTGGCTTTGACCATTGAACCTGCCTAGCGTTGGCACAGGCCCACTAATTAACTATGCAGTTAGAAAGAGAGGGATACTGTCGGAAGGTATCCCAGGCCAGATTTTTTACCCTTCCATGCCTCCTGGCAGGCAGGACTCCCCCACGGACGAGGAGGATGCCGTGGAAACGTGTCAAGGTCTTAGGAATAAAGTGAGCAGCTGCCTGGATGATACAGTCAGTTACTGCTACCACACAGTCGTCTATTGATGGCAGACAGACAATGGCAGGATCAAGTTCGGAGAGAGTGGTGAAAGAGGGCCAGTCAGCCTGGTCCAACTTCCACTGTGGCACTCGGGTCGGGTGGCATCGACCACGGCCAACCTTCCTCAAAACAATAGGAAAATGATCACTGCTCTATGGGTCACTGTCATCCATCCACGAAAAGTGCGAGAAAAGTGAAGGAGAGCAGATCGAGAGATCAATGGCAGTGAAAGACTAAGTAGGTGTATGAAAATAAGTATAAGATCCAGTATTGAAGAGAGAAAGGTTGTGATCCAAGTGCATACGCTCTATGGAACAACCCTTCCCATCAATATCAGCATCACCCCAGAGGAGGTTGTGTCCATTAATGTATCCCAGAATTAAAAAGGGAGATGGAAACTGTTCAACTAGAGCATCAAGGTCCAATTGATCATAAGTCTCTCCAGGAGACAGGTAGAGAGAACAAACAGTGATGGTACAACCCAAGGAAACATAGATGGTGACAGCCT